TCTCAACCTCTTGCAGTTATAGTAGCATTTCTCTTATGGTCCTGCTTCTTGCTGTTCCTATTCAGTAGCCAGTTTTAGCCTAACGGTATTTAGTCAGAAGCAGAAGTAGTGATCTAGTTACTTGTAGTGAAACCATGTCACATCTCAGTGCCAAATACCATACACGCACGCACGCACACACACGCACACACACATACAGACTTTGGCCTTGACTGTAGAGGAGGAGGTCATATGACTATTGTTCGGACCAATCCCTAATGATGATTTTCAGTGACTAGCTGGTCAAAGTATTATAAAAATGCCAAGTAAAATACCTGATGTAATTAGCCTGCTATACAAACTTTTACTACTATTAGCATCAAAACTATACTGTTATTCCATTTGCAACTAAATCATATTTAGTAAAAAAAAGAACCCAAGAAGTTAAAGTACATATGAAGACAAAAATGAACATCTTTGGTTTAAAAGTACAGATACTGGAGCAAAAAATACTCAAGTAAAAGTAAAGGTATCACATGAAATCTACTAAAAAGTATCAAAATCTGTATGAAAAGTATGATTTTGATGTAGATTTGGGCTGAATTTTGTTCAACAGTAACAACTGTATAGCAACATTTAGAATATATTAGAGCGTTTCTCCTATCTCGTTTTTATTTGTATATTTTTGTTTGCTCAAACTACGAACATCTTAAAATAAACCCCTCAGCCTTTTCAGCAAATCCCAGACTATCATAAAAATACTTTTACTTTTCAATCCAGTTCAAAAATGTAGTGGAGTACTGTATAAAGTACAGATACCTACTCTCAAATGCAGTGAAGTAAAAGTAAAAAAACATACATTATACTAAAATTAGGGCTGCTCAATTATGAAAAAATAATTATCACGATTATTTTGGTCAATATTGAAATCACGATTATTCAAACGATTATTTTTAGTTACACCAGATCCTTAAAACCACACACTAAATATGAAATATAAGCTTTATCAAGGTAGATTCTCCAAAAACTTGCAGTATTTTTTTTATTGATGCAAGGTCATTTGGACCAATTCACCTGGAAGCCTGAAGGCCAAGAAAAATTTGTCTGAGGGCCGCATTTGGCCCCCGGGCATAGTTAGGACATGCCTGAGTTACACGATGCCTTTATTCAGCATTTCTCTTTCTAAAATACATTTTATTATTCATAATTTACGGAAATCTCTCAAACTGAAAAGAAATATAGGCTATAAATATGTGCCTTAGAGCAGTTTTGCGATGTATAAAACATAAAATGAATAAAATATACTTTGAACATGAAATAAGGCATAGAAAAACCTAAATGTATCCGAAATAACTATATATTCAGCTGTTTTACAATCTCTATAATAAAAAAATAAAATAAAATAAATAAATATATGTATTTATATAAAAATATCCCAAAATAAACTTTGTTAAGCTGTTATATGAGTTTGGAGGTTGTTTGACACACAAACAAATTCAATTAATTGCACAGTCTTACCTAAAGTGCATACATAAGTACAGTACTTTACTACTTTTACTTTATGTTCTACCTCTGAGTATGATGCAGACATATCCAAATGTATTGGACTTTGCTATTTCAGTTACTCAAAGTTTGTCAAATTATGTATTTACTTTACAGCTATGCTCAAGGACAGCGCCAGATCAACTGTAGCTGCAACCATTACACTGATGTAGGGAAATTTGAAAATTATGTATAGACAGGCCTAGTTTTTTACTGTCTTAAAAACAAAAAAGAACTTGTTGTAGAATGTTAAACAGTTTGCAGGGGTCCAGTGTTATTCCTCACTTACCTTATGCATTCTGAGCATCTTTGTTATTCACCATGATGAGTTTATAAGTAATGAAAAAAAAAATTTTGAAGGTAAAAAAAATGAAGCATAGAAAACGAAAAAGTTATGATAATGGAGCCGTGTGTTTGTTGTAACGGCAGTTTGACCACAGAATTAGTCCAGTGATGATGGGAATGGAGCATTTTTGAGTAGTACTCTTTAAAACAAGCGTGAATGAAATAAAATACAAATTCAGGTATGTTTTTGTTTTGTATGTTTTGTTTGTGAGACAACACTCTCAAAAAGGAAAATTTGCATAGTATGTGTTCTTTAATATGCAAAATATGTGAAATAGGGAAAAAAATCATAGCTTTTGTTGATTAAAAAAAACTTTTATTTCATTTGGACACAAGGCTTAATATAAAAGTCTGGTACATTAATATTTCAATCTAATTTCAGTCTAGAGCAGAGTGCAAGGCGTCTTCTGGCCTCCTCCTCCTCCTCCTCCTCCGCCTGTGGTCTTTGCTGTAAAATGCACAGCCTTTATGCTGCAAAGTAACAGTACACAATGATAGTAGAGTAGTCACATGTACCCAGCTGTGTAAAATAACTAAAACAGGAAAAGAGAGGTGTTAAAATGAGTTATGAAGTTAAATACACAAACACAGATAGTTGGTCAAAAATTGATACTGCATGCAGGATGTTTTATTGACATTTGACTTTCTTTTTCTGTATTTTCTTGTTGCAGTGCCATTTTTAGAGGTGCTAGTGCATGCTGCTTACAGTACCTTGAAGAGGGGGTATTTTACTTTACTTTCCTATGCTTTCACTTTTGTTTCTGTTGCTCTGAGTCCCCCCTCCCTTTGCTCTCTATGCGTTGTCACTTCCCCTTCAGAGCGCTATCACAGCACAATCAGCGCGTATTCCGTTTATGAAACTACTGCACATCACCTCCGGTTTGTCAAGTTGCTGTGCACAGTTTTGCGTCATGTTTTTGTATATTTATGGAGAACTTATGGGCAGAATCTTATAGCTAACCATAAGGAGAGTCCAAATAGGGGTAGGAAGCTAAAATACCCAAACATGCATGAATGACATCTAAAACCTCTATACATTTTTGAAAAAGGAACAATGTTATATTATGGTAAAAAGCTAAAAACAACTGATTTTGCATAATACCCCCTCTTTAAAAATATGAAAGTGTTTAAAGGTGCATTGTGCAACTTTTCCAGTAGAGGGTTTATCACTTGCTTGCTTGTCTTGATGGAAATGTTATTGCTGTGACTAGAATGTTTCACGGTAGAGATTAAATCGAACTATCTCAAGGAAGACAACTAGGGATGTAACAATAACTGAAATATCGTGATATTGCATCGTCGGATTTCTCACAATAATATCATGGACCATCACAATATATCGAATTACAAGTCTCTTTGCTTCAATTAAAGAGTTAGGGTGCAGCAATAGCTAAAAAAAGACAGAGGGGACTACATAGACCATGATCCTTTGCTCCATTTCAGTGCAGACTACAAGAAGAAATAACTCTTCTAAGCACTTTTAAGTCCTAGTTCTTTGGATTAAGTCATATCAAGGCATTTTAAGAGGAAAAAGTTGCATATTAACAGTTTTGTTTGCCTCCAAAAATATCACAATAAATATCGTACCGTGAGATGTATATCGCGAAAATATTGGCCTGAGAGATTTGGATATTGTTACATCCATAACTGTGAGCTTTCCCATGATATCGCAATAAATATCATACCGTGAGGTTCATACCGTGATGATATCGTATCGTGAGACTTGGATATCGTTACACCCTTAGAGACAACTATAGGCTACATTACAGGTCAGATCTGTGGAGAGGCTATTCACAAAGAGAGAATTATTGTATTTTTGAGCAATAGAAACACTCATAATAAATGCTAGATGGATGTGTTAAATGTCATACCATGGAACATTCCAGGCAACGCAATAACATCTCCATGGAGACCAGCAGGTAACTGAGCCTCCACTGGAAAAGTTGCGCAGTGCACCTTTAAAAATATTCATCTTTCTTATAATATTTGAAAGTGACTTGATCCTCATGAGTAGTCATTTTGTGTCATGCGTGCAAACATGCTTGTCAAAAGGGAAAACCCACAGTACAATGACGATTAGAGCATTATTACATTAGACTGAGGTAAATGGAAATTCAGGTTAAATGAATATTCACCACTTTCCACCCATTTTCAAGGCAAGGAAAATGACTAACTTATAATGTTGTTTCCTCATCACAAACAGACCTGGAGCTGTGTTTTGTTTCATTCATACATGTTTAACACACAAACCCTGAATGTTTAGGCTGAATTCTTCTCTAACATGGAAAACACTCCACCTTGTGATGTCATGCGGTAATACAAAAAGTCTTCATTGTGTTTTAAACTTTTTACATCTTTTCTAGAACCATTTAGATGATTTCAGACCTGGAATTGCCAATTTCTACTGAACGAAAGGCAAAAGGTAGCTTGTAAATAACCTATAGTAAAATTTGTCTTGGTTAAAACCTCTTGTGACATTTTTAATTATTACTTTTTTATATTGCACTATTTTCTGTTGTTAACCATTAACTTTTTTAACTTTTACTTTTCATTTACATTTAGAGCTTTTATTTTGAAGGGTTTATTTCCGGTTAGTGTAAAAACGTTTGATTAGCTTGACAACGAGATCGGAAAAAACGTCTAGCTGTTATCGTTGTTGATTGATGTAGTCAAGATGGATGTAAATAATAATCAAACTTGCGTTGAGTTTTGTGTATGCGCATTTACACCCTGTATTTTATATTCCTTTTAGCTCTTACGGCAGATTGGAAGATTTATTGCCATTAAATCTAAAAATTGCCAGTTCAAGTGTCAGTCTTCCTTCCGTTTGATACGTTACATAGCTGTTAACGTGAAAACTACTGCTTCAGACATCACAAAGTGGAGCAGAACATTTTGAGCTCTGGAGATGTAGAGAGACTAATAATGCTACTCAGACATGTGTGAATGTAACAAAACACAGCTCCAGGTATGTTTGTGATGAGTTTAATAAGGTCATTTAATATCGGCCTTTTAAACTCCATTGGTGCTTTTTGTGCTTATCGTAACATTTTCTGGTAAAAACTGTATTATCACCAAAATGCCACTTGCACTGCTTATCATATTTAATTCCATAACCCTTTTTGTATACTTACCTTTGGTTAGGACGTTTTTGGTGAAGTACTCGGTGGTGTTGACGTTTCCGGGTGGTCGGTACTGTCCCACCACAAACACGGTCTTCCCATCAGTTGCCATGCCGACCCCGAGCTCTGTGCTGTCCTTCCACACCACCTGAGTGAAGTGTCCTGGGAGATAACACGGTAAGGAACTACAGTATATATTGCATGAAATGGGAAAACACAGCTTTACAAAATTGGACAAATTTAGTAAACTTGTTAACATATGATCTAGTGTTTATAGGACTAGTATGGATTTTTGGTTTGTATACAAAATCATAGCAGTAACTAGTACTGGATACTCATTTAAGCATGTATCACTTGAAAACAACACTAACAGAACAAAATTTAACCCTTTGTGAACATTTTTACCATGTGATCTTATACAATAGTTCAGGTCAAAACCACTCTAACATGAAGAAATCTATTATTTTGTGTTTATAGAAGAGTGTTGTCATTGCGGTATTCAAACTGGTATAGAGAATGACTTTTTACTTACTTACTTACTTATGGTACTTAAATCAGTAGTACTTTGTCTGACCTAAAACAAAGCCTGTTTATGCTACACGACTGATGCCAAATCACTCAAAATTACTTGAATTTTGAACTTATTTTTGTGACGTATAAGAAAACAGTAAGAATGTAACGATATCCAAATCTCATGGTACGATATTTTCACAATATACATCTCACGGTACGGGTATTTATTGAGATATTTTGAGGAGGCTAACAAAATTGTGAATATGCTACTTTTTTCTCTTAAAATTCCTTGACAAGACTTAATTAAAAGAACTAAGATTTAAAAGTGCTTAGAACTGTTATTTATTCATTCACACCAGAACGGCGCAAAGGATCATGGTCAATGTAGTTCCCTCTGTTTTTTTTTTAGCTATTGCTGCACCAGAACAATGAATTTAAGAAAAGAAACTTGAGATTCGATATATTGTGATGAGCAACGATATTACTGAGAGACTTTTGCTGATGCATGATATTTTGGTTATTCTTACACACCTAGAGCTGTGATTGGATCAATAGAATCTATATCTAAGGTTGTCAATGCTATTGAAAATCAGATACTAATCAATACTAAAACAAATATCAAAACTAGACATTAATTTGAACTTATTTGAAGTACTGGGTACTAAAAGATCTTTAGCTTTAACAGAACTATTATAAGATTACATGGCAATGAAAAGAAAGTACTATTAATATAAAGAAAATACTATTATTTTGTGACAGTCTTTTGACTAAAAGGGGCATTTTTTTATTTAGTATATCATTGTGGTATTGAAATATTGAAATATTGAGTATAAAGCCTTTTGCTTATTATTGGAATTGAGCTTGGATTTTTTTGTATCATGACAACCTCATCTAAATCTACAATCTCATTCTATAGTAAATGTCAATTTTTTTTGACTCCCACCTAAATTCCTGTAGGCTGATGGAGCTTACCTGTTTCACCAGTGAATCCTGGCCTAGCAAAGTTGTAGTCCTTGATCTCGCCATACCACTTATCCACCGCCTCATTTCCTGAAATGTATCAAGGAAAGCAAACATCCAATTTAGCTATAAAATGTGCAACCACATCATAAGGAAATACCTGAACTGAGTTAATATACACTTATACAAGGTGACTATGTGAGGAACATGTTAACAGTGCAGCTCTTTCTAATCTGCTAACTGATAAATAATTGTCCGTTGTTACTGTTTAGAAAAAAAAATGAATGATTGAATCTGTAAAGTCTCACAGGAGAGGTTAGTTCACTCCACAGTGTAATGTGGTGGAGGGAAGACTGTTAGAGTGATTGTAGTGGTGATGAGAAATATGTCATTTGCACTATTGTGACGTCACTGGAATCTAGTGCTGGGTGCAGACTGGCTGCTCTGATTAGCTGTTGTAAAGTTAATCTAACATATTCAATATGTTGGAATCTTACAGTCTGAGACTAAAAATTGGTCTTAAGTCCTCTAGTGTGCGCTGGCCTCATAACTGAGTACAACCCACCTCTGCAAACAGAAGTATTTATGAGGAGGGAAGAGCATTGTACTGTTACACCATATAGCTTTATAGCATTATACAGTTAAACCATACTGCATTATACCAATATACCAGTGAGGCGTGCATTTCATTTGCTGTACCTTTTGGAGTGACTGGAACACTGCTGTTGGAGCAGTAGATGTTCTCTCCATCTTTAGTGGTGCTGTGAGCGAAAGTGTTCTCCTTCAGCAGGTGGTCGGCCCATTTCTGAGCCGTGGCACACAGCTCTGCGTTATAGGTCATGGAGGGGGCGCTGTGCTGGGCCCGGTATGCATTATGAGTGTCCAGGAAAACCTTCTTAAAGCTCTCGTCTGCAGGCCACAAACACAGAATCTTACATGTGATTTTGTGACTGTCTAATGTCACGGATTAAAACATTTCTCAATGCACTGAATTTTACCTACAGGCATAAAAACTGTATTTTTATGCTTGAAATTTCCTGAAAGTATTCAATTGTTTTATTCAATGTTTACTTATTGATGGTTATTGTAAGTATACATGAATATTTTTTCTGAAAGTAAACAGTAGATACCACAAAAGTGTACTAGGAAATGGGTTGCAAATAATGAGCTTCCTGCTTTGGCACATACTACAGTTTCAATTTTGGTCAATGAACATATAGTGACGTCATTTCATGCATTTATCCAGACTTTTTCTTGACAACATTTTTGAAGAGAAAAATATAAAATTGGTGTAATATTTATAGATTGAATGATTTAAATGCTAAAATCAAACATTTAAAGCAGATTTTTAGGTGTAAGGTCTAAAACCTTTTGTCCATACATTTAGTCTAGAATGTTCACAAAATGGCATATTGCAGGTAACTCCACCAAATAAAGTATTTTTGGTCAGTAAACACACCTGTAATTGTGTGTAAAAGATGAAAGATAGATAAGTCTACACCATATTATGGGATATTTTAGGACAATAACATTGCCATGACACATTTAAATTAAATGCTTTATTTTATGTTTTATTATGTGAATATTCAAGCACAAGCCTTGTACTGTCACTGATGTTTAGTCCCTTACCCATGCTCAGAAAAAAAAAAAAATCACACACAAATCCCAAATCAAGCAAATAATTTGAAAACTGAATTGCACTCACCTGCCATAGTGTTTTTAGCCAAGCCTGGAAGAAAATCACATCAATAATGAATGGTCTCAAAACACTATATATAAATACTATATAGCAACATTATAGACATTTCCAAATCTTATAATATACATGTACGGTAGAAGTAGTCCTACCTGCAGCTAAGTGCTCAGAGGTTCCTGTTACGGTCCTGTGAAGATGCTGCTTCTCTGTTCCTTAAATAGTGTTTCATTTGAAGATGAGGAAGAGGAGGGGGAGGAGGAAGAGGAGGGGCAGGAGGAAGAGGAGGAGAGGTGGGCCACTGCAGTGCCTGTGAAAAAGCTGACAGAAATGCAGTTGGTTTAGCTGTTTTGTTTTGTTAAACTGAAGGTAATTATATGGTATGAGAAGTTATTTAAAAAAAACACCTTTCCACAATATTAATTACAGCTCATAAAAAGTCAGAAGTGACAACTTACTTTTATTTCTTTCATCCAACACATTTTAAAAGATATTTCAACTTGGTTTTAGGATGCATATGTCAAAGTCAAATGTGTGTAGTAGTAGTAGTAGTCCCAGTAGTAGTAGTTGTCCCACTAGTAGTAGTCCCAGTAGTAGTAGTAGTAGTAGTCCCAGTAGTAGTAGAAGTAGTAGTCCCAGTAGTAGTAGTAGTAGTAGTCCCAGTAGTAGTAGAAGTAGTAGTCCCAGTAGTAGTAGTAGTAGTAGTAGTCCCAGTAGTAGTAGAAGTAGTAGTCCCAGTAGTAGTAGTAGTAGTAGTAGTAGTAGCCCTAGTAGTAGTAGTAGTAGCAGTCCCAGTAGTAGTAGTCCCAGTAGTAGTAGTAGTAGTAATCCCAGTAATAGTAGTCCCAGTAGTAGTAGTCCTAGTAGTAGTAATCCCAGTAGTAGTAGTGGTAGTCCCAGTAGTAGTAGTAGTAGTAGTTGTTGTAGTCCAAGTAGTAGTAGTAGTAGTCCCAGTAGTAGCAGTAGTCCCAGTAATAGTAGTCCCAGTAGTAGTAGTCCTAGTAGTAGTAATCCCAGTAGTAGTAGTAGTAGTAGTAGTAGTAGTCCCCCCAGTAGTAGTAGTAGTAGTAGTAGTTCCAGTAGTAGTAGTCCCAATAGTAGTAGTAGTAGTAGTAGTAGTAGTAGTAGTAGTAGTCGTCCCAGTAGCAGTAGTAGTCCCAGTAATAGTAGTAGTAGTAGTAGTAGTAGTAGTAGTAGTCGTCCCAGTAGTAGTAGTAGTAGTAGTAGTAGTAGTAGTAGTAGTAGTAGTAGTAGTAGTAGTAGTAGTAGTCATAGTAGTAGTAGTAGTAGTAGTAGTAGTAGTAGTAGTAGTAGTAGCAGTAATAGTCCCAGTAATAGTAGTAGTAGTAGTAGTAGTAGTAGTAGTAGTAGTAGTAATTGTAGTAGTCCCAGTAGTCCCAGAAGTCCCAGAAGTACCAGCAGTCTCATCCCTCCTATCTGGTTTATAACTACAAGCAGAAGTAGTAGTAGCATTTGTTGTTGTTAGTAGCAGTAGTAATAATTAGTAGTAGTATTTGTAGTACTTTTATCTGCCATGCCCCCTATCTGGTTTATGACTACAAGCAGCCACTGGTAACTCTGTATTTATACATTAAGTGGATTAACACTCAATAAGCACCTCATAACCCTAATATAAAACAACACTTCTAACTTATCCAAAGATGTCTGATGATACTGGAACTCCCTCTCTCTCTCTCCTATAGCTCTCTCATGTAAAACACAGGTTTTTTCCCATCATGCACCAGTGGCTGCTTTTAACGAGTGGAGAGCGGATGTGTACGCTAACACTTCAAAAGCCCTGTGCGCTCATTAGTCCACCATAAAAACCTTACTATGGCACATACGGCCCCTTATGTCCAACCACAAGTCCCAAACACTACTTTCTCTCTCTGTAGGTTACAACAGACATCTGCAAACAAGATAATCTCTGGAAATGTTCACACTACAAATCTGATCATTATCTGATTTCTGGAGAAATCCGATTATCTAAATGAAAAAAAGTTACATCTGATCTAAATCTAAATCCAGTTTCTAATATAAAAGAGATATTTTCCATGTATTTGAGCAAAATGTGTCTTGCCTGAGTTCAGATAAAAGGTGTGAGCAGCTCTTGAGGGTAAAATAAAAAAAAGCATTTTATCGATAATCAACCATAAACTGTATGAAAGCAGTGGACTAAGCGAGTGTGACATCACCCATAGCGTTCAGCGCCGCTCAAATGAGGCTCACAATGTTAACATTACAGGAGCGAATCTGGAGACAGGATCTACGTTAGGAATAGGATTTTTTGAACGGACAAAATAGCAATAAAACAATTCAGGGTCATGTAGAGCGGGTTAATACGAACATTTAAGACCAAAATGACAAGGCTCACAGCAGCAGTTACACAGAGAGGAGAGGCAAGCGACAAGATCCAACTGTAAGTCAGTTGGAGCCAGGGTCAGAAGGAGCCGGAAGAACCTCCTGGTAAACTTCCTGTTTGTTATATGTTTGTTCGAAAAAGATAAATGTGGATATCAACTAGTTTTGTGCTGATAACATGTTACTGTAGAGCCATTCAAACTGTGTATTATCACCATATTATGAAGTCATTAGGCCTTTTATTTTTCTCAGAGGAAACCAAGGTTAAATTCAGTTGAGAAAAACACATTTTCCCTGTCCACAAATGCACAAAGCCCTTACCTTCTGCACATTTTTCACAAACAAAATAGTTCATATTGACAATAAAATAGGCTGAAGGATGTCTGTCCGCACAAACTTCAATGCTGCGACGTGATTGGTTTGCCCACCCAATTATCCTAGAGCAGCTGCATGTCAAGATGCATTCTTATGATTTTGTGAATGCACAAATATCATGAGAATCCATCTAACTGTCACTACTGGTAGTGATTTTAAATTTGAAAAACAAGTGAAAGCAGTCGTCAAATCTCACTTTTATCCAAAGTATTTTTTACTCTTGAATAAGCCATACATGAATTTATATCCTCTCGTTTAAACTACTGTAATGCACTTTATTCTGGCATCAGCCACAATGCACTTTACCACTTACAGTTGATCCAAAATTCTGCTGCTCGACTTTTAACTGGAAGCAAAAAATTACCCCAATTTTTGTGTCATTGCACTGCCTTCCAGTTCATTTAAAAAATGATTGTAAGATTTTATTGTTTGTTTTTAAAATTTTGAATGGACTGGCCCCACATTGTCAAATCGCATCCAAATTTGCATCCTGTGCATGCTCTGAAATGTGAGGGCAAGCTTCAGCTTGTGGAGCCTAGACTTAAAGCCAGGGGGGACAGGGCCTTCTTTGTGGCTGGCCCGAACTCTGTAATGCTCTGTCTCCACAGTGGAGTGTTTTAAGTCATTTTTTTGTTTTTTTAGTTTTTTTAGTTTTTTACCTTTTTATTATTTATTGGTATTTTTGCTCTCATTTGACTAGTTTTATTGTCTTAACAGGGACTAGTGGAGTTAAATAGAGATTTATTTTATTTCTTTTGGATCTGTTTTGTGTTTTGTGCAGCACTTTGAAAACTGTTTTGTTTATGAAATGGGCTATAGAAATGTCATGGACTGGACTGGATGACTGTGCAAGGTCATGTTCGAGGTTATGTGCAAAGTCAAATACAGAGATTCAGATTCAGATGATGGAAGAAACACCTGCTTCATAAGTTCATAGTCAGTACAGAATAAAAACAAACAGTACTGTTATTGGGAGAGTGCTGATGTGAATGGGTAGGATCTCTGGGTAGGACAGATTAGATTTACTGTCAAAATGAACGCCCATCATTATTTCATTATTTGCCCTTATTACTGTATGTGTGGTTGCTACAGAGATCCCATAGTGTAACTTCCTCACCTAGAAGTGACTTACCAAACGGTCACTTATGTCTGGAAGTGTAAATGCAATGCCAAAGATTTACTGTAAAAATGAACTGCCACCTTTATTACATTATTAGCTGTTGCTACATGGCACATTATTACATTATCGCCATGCCACTGATCCCATAGTTACTTCCTCATATTAGGATACTGTTAAGATTATTACTGTCAAGACTTATAGACTTACACAAATTTGAATATTTTCATTGATTTGCATTTTACTGCTAAACCTTTAACTGTCTCCACATGTTTTGGGTGATTAGAGTAAAAAGTACTATCCACATGTATGTTTGTAATACAGGCTGGTGTAGACAGACATGTGGCCTGGAGGAAACTGCTCTGTCTACTGCTTGATCATAGCTTTGACTATGGACCATAAAAGACACTGTCATTTGTATTTTATCGCTCTATAATTCGCTATAACTTATCAAACTGTCACTATGTTTTGAACTATAAAGCTGCAGTATTTTTCCCCACCCGATCATAGTGAAATTGCATTTTTTTTTATTGTTAAAACATTCTACGTTTTAACAGTGCAATATATGCTTTAAATCTGACTTTTTTGAATAGTTGGACGTAAGATAAGCAGGCGGAGACATGGGGTGTGTGAAAACAGGAATTTTCTGGGACCTCAAGCCTGCATTCAAGCAGGACAAGACAAGATTACTCAAACTGCGTGAATGAATCAGTCAAAATGGCATTTGCGTTCATGATTCAGTTGTCATTGCATTGCTGTGTAAGTGCAGAGTAATTGTAGCTGTGAAACTTTAAAGCCATAGGTTCCTAGCTTGTCGATACTGCAGCAGTTAAACAGCCCAAGTCTTAAGATTTAAGAAGGGGCTGAATGTAGAATAGACGTTTTTAGTCTTTATTTTTCATCATGGGGGCAGCAGATGGCTGGGGCTCCACACAGAACCACTGACACAGGATTTGGGCACAAGCGACATGCAGAAGTGTAAAATGCAGGTTATCCCCAACTGTGACAGCGTTCTTACAATAACTGAATCTTGGAGAGAGGTACCCTACAATCTTAATGAATAGACAGAAATGAACTACTGCAAGCAATTGATTAGCTGATCTAATTTAGCTCAGATTACAATAAATGACTTCAGTTTTGTTTGAAAATTCCTGAGGGGACCCCAGACCCTCATGCTTTTAAACTTACCTGCTACAGAATTAATACAGAGTTTGATTCAGGACCCCTAATTCATGCACTAATGCCCACAAAGGTGCCCCCCCCCAAATCTATAACCATGAACCAGTGTAAACTAACTGTGCTCACTGTGCAATGGAGCCCAACAGGGACAGTTCTGTATTGTACAAAGATTGGCTGTTTAGGGCTTTTGTTACTGCACAGAAGAA